ATGGGGTTAATTTTGAGTTTACAAACATAAAATACTTTCGTACATAAACACAACAAACATTAAGTTGTGATGTGCAATTTCTGTCTTCATTTTACTCATACCTGAAGTTGTTAGGCCTTATATGGGGTGAGGTTAAAAATTCCTCACCCCATATAAACAGTGACTTCAGTTGGGATTGACAGATGCCTAACCAGGCTTCCTCAAACTGCTCCCAGGCCTCGCAAAGGAAATGGGCCATGTCCCAGCTAGACAGGAACCTGGATCCACCCCTGGTCTCTTGTTCCTTCAAGCCTAGGCTGGAAGTGAATGAGGAAATACAGTTTGGGTAGAACGTACAGTGGTTCAGTCATATTCTCTCCAATGGCTCCCCCAAAACTTTTCCCAAGTCCTCAGTAAATATTTGGTGATTAACTGATTTTATCATCTGACATTTCTCCCAACATAATTGTTGAAAAAGAAAGTTGGCTGAGATTTACAACGACCTCTTCTCACAAGGTGGGTGGTTGGACTTGGGAAGGAATGAGAACCATTCTATTGATAGAAGAAGAGGCTCTTCCCCAGCCGACATAATGACGGAAATGGTGGTTTAGAAAAAATCTTAAAAATTGCTCAGAGATGATTACAGGCTGTCATTAAGAAATGAGGAAGGAAGGGCTTTCTTTTCGACTACAGGGTGTACAGCTCTGCAGACAGAAATTATTATTTTATATTTAGGCCAATGGTAGTCTGTAGGCCTTTGAAATGTAAAAAGCAATAATAACTTAAGTATCTGGTTTGGCTTGCAAAGCATCAAGACAGATTACACAGGCCATATATAAGAACCAGGCTCTGTCCTTTATAACGTCTTGTATTTCAGGTTTCTGAAGTCACTGCTATATTCACTGTGTGCCTACTCTGTGTAGGACACCCGCCATGGTGGATTTAGAGAGTATCAGGCCATGGAGATCTAACTGGGTTCATCATCCAGATGAGGGAGGACTATGGGGAAAGTGAACAATGCATGCGCTGGGTTGCAGAAGAACAACACAGCCCACAGGCCGTTCAGTTGTTCACGGGAGGCAGGGATCTGTGAGCTGAAGCAGCTTCCCAAAAGCAGGAGAACAGAATTCCTGAAATCACACAGGCATGAAAATAACCATGATTCTACTCAACAAACCAAATAACTTGTTTGCAAATGTTTGTTCCTGATTAGATCTTTGAGAGAGTGCGTGAGAAATCATCTCCAGTAAAGACATCCTACAGTAATTTTAACTCCTAATCCAGGGTTTCATTTTACACCCTTCCTCTCACATCCTCCACACCTTTTGAAATAGCCGAAGCCCAGGAAGGGCGTGTTTTAGTGTGCTGAATGGCAGACTACTCATATACAAATACATGCATGCTTACTTTACTTGGAGACAGAACCATTAAAGAAGTATAGTTACATTTGATATTTGGAGGTGAAATCTATGAACCACTGAAATAAACCTTTGTGTTCCATTTCCTTACTCTAGTGAGGTGTGAAAAGGCTTCTTGAAGTAGTAGCAGCTTCTGTTTTGGCTTGACTGCTGTCAGCTCCTGAGCCCAGCACTGAGAAAGAGTAAACATGTTGGTGGGGCCAAGATTTGGTGCAGCGTATGTCCCTCAGGTGATGGGCGCACCAGGATCCCACAGATCTCCACTAAAGAACTTACTCATGTAACCAAATACCACCCATACCCCCAATAACTTATGGAAAAATAAAATTAAAAAAATATAAAAATTCCAAAATAAAATAAAATAAAAGAGCCGTTATGAATTTAAAGGACCTATCTCAAGTCACACAGTTGAGCATCCAGGAGACTCCCATCACCCTCAGTAATAAACACCAACAGAAGGTCACTAAAGGCAGGAACTAGCCATTGTCAGATTTCCTGAGTTCACTTTTGACATGGCACAGTAAAATGCTTATATTATTCAACACATGACCATTTTATATTTACCAATTCTATGGAGTGGGAAACAATTGCAACTATAAATTTTTATGTCAAAAGAGAATATTATTCCAGAGAATAAAGAACTAAAGCTCAAAGACCATATTACTTCTTCTTCTTCTTTTTTTTTTTTTTTTTTTTGAGACAGAGTTTCATTCTCATTGCCCAGGCTGGAGTGCAATGGCACAGTCTCAGCTCACTGCAACCTCTGCCTCCTGGGTTCAAGCGATTCTCCTGCCTCAGCCTCCTGAGTAGCTGGCATTTCAGGCATGTACCACCATGTACGGCTAATCTTTTGTATTTACTAGAGACAGGGTTTCACCATGTTGGTCAGGCTGGTCTCAAACTCCTGACCTCAGCTGACCCATCCACCTCGGCCTTCCAAAGTGTTGGGATTACAGGCATGAGCCACCATACCCAGCCAAAATCTGTTTTCTGATACTTAAAAGTAAAACCTTAAGAATCATCCATCTGTCCATCTCAGGATAAATTTGTTAAGTATTTATTCTATGCCAGGGCCTGGACAAATTGTTAGAGAAAAAAAGATTTTTTTAACAAAGATTAACATATGGCTCCTGCCTTTAAAGAATTTAACAAAGATTAACATATGGCTCCTGCCTTTAAAGAACTAACTGAAAATAAATACCATCCTAAGAGTCTCTTCACATTAAGTTGTATTTAAATAACTTAAATATAAAAATACCAATAGATTGAAAAATACTTAAAGGATTTCATGACCAGGTTGGAAATTAAAGTGTATTAAAAGGAGAGAGAATGAAATAAAAGGGAATTAGAACAGACCATTTCATTAGTCATAAGAAATGAACTTCCGATATGGATGGGTCTTGAAAATACTGAGTGAAAAAAGTCAAACAGAAAAGGATAAATATTAGATAATTCCACTCATACAAAATATCTAGTAAATTCCCAGAGGAAAATGGGCAAATTCATAGAGACAGAAAATAGATTAGAAGTTATTAAAGACAGGACAAGAGGAGAACAGAGTTACTGCTTATTGGTTACAGAATTTTCGTTTGGGGTGATAAAAAATTATAAAAATACTGGTGATGGTTGCATAACATTGTCAATATAATGCCACTGAATTGTACATTTAAAATGGTTAAAATAGCAAATTTTATGTTATATATATTTTACCACACCTTAAAAAGCAAATAATGTAATATACTAAAAACCATTGAATTGTACACTTTAAATGGTAAACTGTGTGAATTATATCTCAATACACTGTTTTTTAAAAAATCTTTTACACGTTAGCATAGTTTTTACTATGTTTTTACTTTGTTACCTTGCAAAGCTCTGAATATTGTTACAGAAATTTGTCAAATTTTTCAGGAGAGTATGAGATAAGAGAGAAAATGTTAGATTAAATGGTTGGGCTTGGTGGCTTATCCCTGTAATCCCAAAGAGAGAAGGCCTCTTTGGGAGTTCAAGGCAGGTGGGTCGCCTGAGGTCAGGAGTTCAAGACTAGCCTGGCCAGTATGGTGAAGCCCTGTCTCTACCAAAAATACAAAGATTAGCTGGGCATGGTGGAGCGTGCCTGTAATCCCAGCTACTCAGGAGGCTGAGGTATGAGAATCACTTGCACCCGGGAGGTGGAGGTTGCAGTGAGCCAAGATCACACCACTGCACTCCAGCCTGGGTGACAAAGTGAGACTTCATCTCAAAAAATAAAAAAAATAAAAAAAAAAAAGAAAAGAAAATGTAAGATTAAGAGTCTGGGACATGTGATTCCAGGCCTGCTTTGCCACTTCATTGGTTGTGGTGCCTGAAGTTCAATAATCAACTTCCCTGGGCTCTGTTTTCTCATCTGAGAAGCAAAGGAGCAAAATCAGGTGATTAATTTTTTAAATACTGTGATTTGCACTTCTTACTGAATGCCTAGGTTTTACAAATAATCACTCATCTTTTGGCAGTTTAGAACATAGAACAGCCTTGTCTCTTTAGGATACCTGGTTCAATGACAAATTTCCTACCTTGCAATGAATACTTATCAGGCTATTTTCAAAAGAGTTCCTTGGCTGGACTCTTCTTGAATATAGTGAGCCTGAAAAGTATGGCTGGAAACCACTGTCCAAACAAAACAGATGATAACATTTGTTTTTTACACCTCTTAAAAGTAGATTAGCTATAGATCAGAGCATGTCACTGCTTAAAAAAATGTGGTATATATTTGCTTGCAATACATATTTGTTGAAAGGCAACAGCACTTGTGTTTACTCCCTAGGAAACTCTCAGGGCGTGGGGTCAGAGGAGAGCATGGAGGGGCAGCAGGCCAGCTCCAACAGCCCCTGGGAGTCTATGACTTCTGGGCTCAGACTTGCTTCCTCAGCTGGCACTGTGTTCCTCCCATGGGTTGATCATCGGCAAGACCAAAGAGCTCCCTTCTAGTAAGTACCATTAAGGAGTCCAAGGTCCAGACAGAAAAGAACGAGGTCAGGTATTTCCAAAGTATTTCATTCTAATGAAAATTTATTTCAGAAAAAGGCCATAATAACCCTTTGAACTAAGTTAACAAGAAAGCTACATTTTTGTCACTAGTTCTATTGTTGCCTCAAAACAATAGTAACAAAACAGAAAATAAAAAGAATTACTGGGAAAAACCAGAAATTAAGTACTCTCCCCATCTCCCATTCCAGACATAATAAAGTGATGTGATTTAGACTAAAATTTGCCAAAAGCCAGTACACCCTTTTTATCCTACTAGGCAAACACAAATACCGCAGAACAAGAATTCCATCTTAAAATAACAGCTCTGGAAAAAAAGAAGGTAGTAATAATCTTCTACTATGTGACTACTGAAGGTACTATGTGACTACTGAAGGTACTATGTGACTACTGAAGTCCGATAGGAAAGGAAAATAGACCTCCCACAAGTAAAATTAGTCACAATTTATGATAACCTGAGAAGAAAAACAGATTCTGGATTTGTCAATTCCATTTGAAGGTGCAGAAAAGCTTACAAGCCCATGATCACCCTCTGAACCCTTTACAAAGGGCCACACAGCCACATCAAGGTGTCAAACATACCCTGAATTGGAATTCCATCTTGGCTCGGTGGGATAAGAAGTTTTGACTCAGCCCTTCGAGGAGAGCTTCGATTCCTCCATCCTCTGACCAGAGCCCCCACCATGGCTGCTGGCAGCATGCTCCCCGGGTCGCCGTGGTCCTGCCTTGGTGGGTGGGGGGGCCCGGTCAGGCTGTCACCACAGGAGAATCATGTTCTCCTTGCAGGTGCTACACCCAAGCCTGACAGGTCTGGGCAGTTCCTCCCACCCTCATCTCCCGCCCACATTCTCATCCTTCTTGCGTTGTCAGACCTCCCTCGGGAGGCTCAGGGAAAGAAAGCTTGGGAGGTGAGACAAGAGAAAAACAGACAACAGCAAAAATAAAAATGAAGAATAGGAATAAAGTCAATCAACTGAAAAGAATGGCCAATATTATAAAAGCACAGTCTCCTTTATATGAGGGATCATTTTTGATGCTTCTGTTTTCACTTAAAGTCTAATTTTTCAACAAGCAAAAATGACCATGTGTGGGAGGGCTGAGGCAGGGCATGTAACTGCGTACCTATTTCTCTTTTCTCAGACTATGTTCCTTGCTAAATTGGAAGAGCTTTCAGGCAATTGTTTTTCCAAAGAGAACCATCTTCTACATAAACAGAATTTGTTTACAACATAAGAAATGTATTTCTAATGTTTAGAGTGTTCACAGAATTACACTGGCATTTGAGAATGAGGAAAGTTGGTTAAGAGATTTAATAAAAATCCCAATCAAGTAAACTCTCAAAGACTTTAAAAAGATGAATCGAATCCAATGACCCAGTTAGCTCTCCTACGGAGCCCAGGTAGAGGTGCCTCATCCTGACCAGCTGGTGCCTGTGCTGCGCTTATATAGGACGCTGCTCACATGTGCCCCCTACTGGTCAGGTGCCAGGGGCACACTGGGCAGTGACCAATGACTGCATTGAAGCAGGGGGAGGAGCAAGTAGCTCTAGAAAGTTCTAGACTCCCTTGGCCATCTCTGTAAGCTATATTCATTCAGCCTAGGTGGTAGAAGTTGAGATTGAATTAGCTGTAGGCTGCCTGAGAGGTTTTGGTATTGTTTACTGTTGTTATGACTGTTATGGGTTACACAGATGGAATGATCCATACCTGATTTCACTCTTTTTCTCCCCTTCCCTAGTTACATCTTATTTAATTTAATGAGATCAAGATAGTTTCTGCAGGAGGTGGGCAAATTCCCCGAATCACCTAAAACTGATCACATTTAAATAAAACTATAATTTACCAAAGAAAGAGTATTCCAAGGATACACATCTTACATATTCATTTTGTTGACATTTACCTTATTATTTTGACCTTTCCAAAATTCAGAAAACCTTTGGTATCACTGTGGTCAGAGGGAAAGTCAAAATGCAGGATAGGATTTTAAAATGGTAGAAGAGTAGGAAGCTATTGGCTCTATTCTCTCCAAACCCCAATCTCAGGGCGGGATTCCTGCAGCACCATCTCGGAGGGGCAGCCCTTGATGAGAGGCATGTGTCCTGGGCCTCCTTGTGGGGTGCTTCTCCTTCCTCACTGGAGTGGGATTCCTTTTCCACGTCTGCCACAGAGGGCTGAGCTGGGCTCTGATGGGTTCAGGGGAGAGCTGCTCAGGGGCAAAGCCACCTACTCTCTAGGGAAAAGGGCAAAGAGGCCTTCAAAATCTCTGTTCCTGTCACACCCAGAGTCAATAAGACAGGCTGAAGCTGTCTTCTGCTGGGGTCAGGCCCTGTGGGAGTGGGGTGGCATCAGGGAAGAGAGCAGGGGAGCCCAGTGCTCAAGTGTGGGGTTTGGTCTTGTCTTGGAAGACGGGGTTAAGGAGAGATCTTGAGGAATGACCCAGTGTCACTCACTGGGGACAGGATCAGGAGGCGGGAACACAGCTGTGCATTCACCTGGAACCATCTCTTTGGAACTTCGTGTTCCACGGTAGGAGACTGCATGGGCTGAGAACTGGGAGTGGTAGGGAGTTGAAGAGAGCCTCTATTAGGACAAGCAGAAGGCAACTTTGACCCCATCCTTAGGGTGAGGTGGCAGGGAAAACGCAGCAATGCTGAACGCACACACGTGCTTCCTTAACCGGACCTGCTGCGGGTGAACCACGCCTTTCCCGGAGATGCAAAGGGAAGTAGCTCAACAGCGAGCCCATGAAGTCATTTCCCCCCCAAACCTGTCTTATTATAAGATACACCCCCCTGCCCATGCCATGAAAAGGGACACACTGAGAAAAGAAACACATCTAAAGGACGCAGTATTGAGGCTATTAAAAATCTACGAACACCCTCCAAATGGAGCTCTTCTTGGAGGCCTCGATCATTACTGCTGCCACAGATCCAAAAATCCCCATCCCCCATGGGCCAATCAGAAGTCCAAGGGGAGATACAGGGTAGGCCAGAACCATTTCGGAAGCACAGCAAACTGCCCAAATTCAGCCACTGAGACCCCTGCATAGCTGCTGCCATCAGCCACCAGACACGATATGGAGGTATGTGAGAAAGTAGGTGGATGGAGCTGGTTGAAATTTCAAATACAAGTCCCCAACCCCGCACCTGAATTTCCCACCTAGGGGAACCTCCTTTGTGCATTCGTCATTCCCTGAACAGCCAACCACAGTACTTTTCGCACTCTGTTGAGATGATTTACTTGTTAGAGTTTGTCTCATGCAGTTATCCATCCCCAAGCCTCGGGGGGCACTTAAGGGGATGCAGATTCCCAGGACTTGCTCTGAAATGGCTGTTCTATGAGGTCTAAGATAGTGCCAGGGAGCCTGCATTTTCTAAAGCTTTCCACATTTGCTCACACTGTCAGCCTGGATCTGATCCAAGGATAGTATGAAGATGCCAGTTTACTAGCCTGCGGGCTTCTAAAAGTCATGGATCACAGCCTTCTTTGTGCCCAGTATAGCGTATGTACCCAGCACATAGATTGCTGGGTGAAGAGAGTGCCGGAGGCCAGGGACATCTACCCGTGGTCTCCACCCGAGGAGGCTGCCTGATACTTTTATCCTTCCATGAAACCCACTGCTTGCCACTGCCCCTGCCACCACCCTGGCTGCAGGTGCCATACCATAGGATTGCCTCATCTTACCTCCACCCCAGGCCCCCTCAATATTCCCATATTTCACTCGCCTGTGATGCTCTGGCCCAGAATACGATTTGTCCAAGCAACAGTTTCCTGCCTCTTCCGCCCCACCAAGAACGGCTCCATCTTTCCTTCAGACGTCCTATGCCCTGGATACTAGCGCAGAGCGGTCCGTGCGTCAACTCAGGGTTCAAGTTGAACAGCATCATCGAACACTCTGTCATCCTTAGTTTGCCAGTTATAGCAGGTGGGTGCACAGTGTCCAAGGTTTTCCCCAACAGGAAGCTGAGCGATGACCGTGACTGCAGTGGGAACGTGGTCAGGAAGAGGAAGAAGGGTAATGTCCTGCCTGGGAGGTCAGCGCCACCCTTCCACACACACACACGTGCTTCCTTCACCGGACCTGCTGTGGGTGAACCACACCTTCCCCCGAGATGCAAAGGGAAGCAGCTCAACACTGAGCCCATGAAGTCATTTCCCTCCCAAACCTGTCTTATTGTAATATACAACCCCTCTCCTCTCATGAAGAGGGACACACTGAGAAAGGAAACACATCTAGAAAACCAGAATCATCCTGAAGGCTGTTTAAAGGCCAGCATGGCTCACAACAAACTTTCATTCATGGGTGTTTGTTGCTAATGTCCTGTCGTGACAAGTTGACAACTATCCTCTAAATTTCATAAACATAAATACTGTCCCCATCTGCCCTCTACAGAGGATGAGGATGAATTGGGCCATGTGTTTCTCTGGAGTCTCTTAGGGCCTAATGTGGTTCTGAGCACACAGCACGCATGCTAATTGAAGTAATGTGTGTCAAGCTGTGATGATGTTGTTGTCAACTGTTAAGATGCGCACAAAGCCATCAGCATTAAGTATGCTATCCAACTCTGTAGCAAATACTTGACCTCCTACTATAATGTCAGGGAGGAGTCTTGGGGTGAGGGTGGGGCTGTGTGTGGCATGTTTCAACCTCACTCCTGATGTTCTCTCCATCTGGGTGGTCCTCCAGGAGCTCCTGGTCTCTCTTTAACCCCCAAATGCCTCTCTTGGCGGCAGGACTCAGGAATTAGACTGGCATGCATAGGAAGGGAAAACTGGGCAGGCATGATCGGGCTGCACTCCTGCTTTCAGGGCACAGAGCTGCCCACCAGTAGCACCCGCTTTGCCTCCCCCTTGCAGGTGCAACGTCTGCTCCTGTGTGTGAAGGGCTGCTCAGGTCCGCCTGTCGCCTAGGAAGGTTCCGATTCTGAGTTCGGTACTAAGATACCTACAGGCCCAGACATGAGACATAATCTCCAATGTCAGCTTATTAGCAATAAAGGTGAGAATTTCTAGTCTTCCTCTGTCTTCCTGCTTGGTTTCAAATTCTCAAATTGGGCAGAACCTGGCCGGGTGACGAGGGTCTTCACTGCCTTTTCCCCAAGCCTCCACGTCTGGTGGACTGGCTCAGGGACATGGCACTTGAGAAACAAAATGATCCTCAGAGATGGTGGCTTCTGACAGATGCGGCACGGTGGGTGTGGGCCCACTGGTTTCTCATGTGGCCACTCGCAGCACAGTGTTTTGTGCCACAGTTCGCTTCTGCAGTCTTGCAGGTGGCCTTTATTGTGGCCTGGTAAGCAGCTTTAGTGCACTTTTTACTTTGGCAGCTGACTCAGCTGCTGACAACTTTGCCACAGGTGGTGGCTCTTTCTGGAGTGTCGTTGGGCCTGCCAACACGAGGTCCGGACATGCAGGCTCAGGCCTCACCATGCACAGAAGCTGCATGGCTTCAGCAAGGTGGTCTTAACCTAACTGTGGGGGAAGGGGGGACTTAGGGAGCAGGCATCAGGCTTGCTGCTCACCAGATGTACTGAGGCAGAGTCAACTGTAGGAAAAGCAGAGTCTTTATGTTAATAGGCTTTTTTAGCATCAAGGGTGGAGCCATATTGCGAAGCAGCATGCTCTGTGCACACTACAGAATGGGGTTTAGCTTTAAAGGATCACTGCCTGGCCCATTCAGCCGTACTTCATCAGCTGCTGCAAATTCCGTTCTGTACTCAAGGCCAAAAAGAAACTGAGGAGTGGCAAAGTTTGGGTTCAGGAAGCTCATTCACAGGTTTCAGGGTCTCCCTGAACTACAGGGCCTCAAGTTGGCTCTGGATCGCTGGGTTCTCTCAGACACCACCGGGACTCTGCTCTGGGCTGCATTTAGGGAAGGATAGCTGTGCAAAGCTAACGACTCCAGGGGATGGGGAAAAAAGGTTTTCTAAATTTGGAGGATGTAGAACCATCTGAGTATATAGAATTCTCAATACAAAGAACATGGAGGAAATTCTACAACTCTTTTTTAAAGACGGGAAATAAAAAAAAAATGATCCACTATTATCCTTTCTTTTCTTTTTTTTTTTTTGTTGAGATGGAGTCACCCTCTGTCACCAGGCAGTGGCATGATCTTGGCTCACTGCCACCTCTGCCTCCTGGGTCCAAGTGATTCCTCTGTCTCAGTTTCCCAAGCAGCTGGGACTACAGGTGCACACCACCACGCCCAGCTACTTTTTGTATTTTCAGTAGAGATGGGTTTTCACCATGTTGGTCAGGATGGTGTCGATCTCTTGACCTTGTGATCCACCCGCCTCAGCCTCCCAAAGTGCTGGGATGACAGGCATGAGCCACCACACCCGGCCTATTATCCTTTCTTTTCTCGAAGTGATAACCACTACCCAGGCTGAACTGTTCTGAACTGGATGTTGCACAGAATTCACCCGAGCACTCGCTAACTCCCATGCTGTCTGTACGGTCCTCAGCATTGCGGGGGCCATGTATATGAGAAAAGCAGTGGAAACACCAATGCATGTATGGTTTCTGCTAAAATTAGTTAATCCACAAAAAATGTATTTGTAAATTCATATAGAATTTGGACTCTATATGAGCATTACTGCCTAGAGATGTTCATTACTTCCCAAGGGCACCTCGTCTCTGTCTGTCCTAATGGTGGGAAAATGTGCTCAAACTTGCCCATCTAAGGCAACTTTCCCATGATTCTCAGTGTGTCCTCCTCCAGCTGTAGCCCTCTTCTTCCTTCAAGTGTAAAAGCTACAAATGGGTTCTCTACCTGTACTCACTGTCTTCATCTCTTCCCCAACTAATGCCAATCTAGTCTCTTTCCTGCTTCACCACACACCCCCCCAACCAAAACAGTTATCTGTAATATGATGCTGCTTAACCCAACTGGTATTTTATGTTTCTTCTGCATATAACTTCTTGGAAGCATCTGATGCTTCTGGCCACTGTTCTCATGTTAAGCACTGTCCTCCCTTGGGGACCACGGCCCCTTAGAATCCTGGTTTTCCTCCTCCCTGTACCAACATCCCTCTTCAATCTCCTTTGCAGGATCAGCCAATGACTCATTTATATTTTCAGCCCAAACTTCTGAGCACCAGACCAGTATATCCAAGTGACTATTTGATAGCTCAGCTTTGAGATTTCACAGGAAACTGAAATGTAATATACCCAAAATGAAACACAACTTCCCTCCCAAACTGGGCCTTCTTCCAAGGAATGTCACTATCATTTGTGGGGTTCTGCCAACCAGAAATGTCAGAGCCATCCTCTCCACCTTTTTTTCCATCACTCCACACATTCAAATCATTACCACCTCTAGTCAATTTCTTTACTTCTTAATTCACTTTCATGTCACTTCCTTTTCTCCATCTCTACCGTGGTCATCTTCCATCTGTACTAGTATAACATTCTACTAAATATTCTCTGGAGGGGAGCAGAACTATAGTGCCATGATCATTCAAATGGCAGACCTGATGTCACCCTATCCTTACCCCATCAGCTGAAAACTCTTCCATGCCTTTTCATTTCTTCTAGGATAAGGATCACAATCTGTATATAACCTGGCCTCCAGCACTCACATGTTCCCATCCTGGCCCCCTTGCTGACCTTACTGGCCTTCTCTCCCACACCATACCAGACGCGTCACTCATCTCTAAGTCCCTCCAGAGCTCACTGTCTCTCTACATCGCTTTTCTGCCGCCACCTCAGTTCCTGCTCACCTGTCAGATCTCAGCATGGTGATCACCTCCTCATGACAATGCCTACCTGTATTTTTTTTTTCCTTTATGGCATTTATAATTTACAATGAATATCTGGCTTATAGCCATCTCTCCTACTAGTCTAGTTTAGTATATTGATGGGGTGGTGGGGAAAGCGCATGTGTTTTTTGCCCGCATCAAATTCCCACAGCCTGAAACAGCACCTGGCACAGAGTACATACTTAACAAATGCTTGCTGAATGACTGAATGAACAACTATACGGCCCTGAGGACTTTGGTATAATTAGTGTGGGTGATATTTCTATCACAGCTGTTGTAATTTATAAAAGTATGCCATTGCTTATAATTAGGTAAAGAAGCAAGCCTGTAATTATGAACTCATTCCCATGGGAAAACATGATCTGCTTTATGATAACTACTTTATTTTATGGATTCTTCAAAGAGAACACTTTGGTGAAAAGTGAGCCGCTTGTATTTCTCCCTTACTTACATTTAATATTCACATCTTCTCTGCCCTGAGAAATGCTATATTGTTGAACACAGCCATGAAGTTTGACAAATTTAACAAATAACTAAATATCTCTTTGTAGCTTAATACTTATTATATGATTACAACCTAGGTTGAATTATATTAAAAATTGTTATTAAGAACAGAGCAACCTAGAAAAGTCAAGGCAATGGAGCTTTCTCATGCCAAACCTTTAAAATCCTACAAACATGATTTCTGTATTTATTTTCTCCTCTATATCAAAGCAAGGCAAGGCTACCTTAAGTCATTATGGCACTTTAACTCACACACACAATTTAATAAGAGTTTAAAATTTTGATTTTATAGAAAATTGCTCATTAATATTGTTGGTTTTTTCAGAGATTACTTATTTTCTCAGCAATGAAAGGAAATGAATTAAGGCTGATTTCTAGTTTATAATTAATTGATACTCAGAGATTTCATGTTTTAAAACTGTAATATCAGTGATAACTTAATATGATAA